TAATGCATTATAAGCGTTAAGTGTAAAATAATATTCCTTCTTAAACAGACCATACTGGATATCGAAGATATGTAAAAAATACATTATTTTCGATCTATTGAGAATCTGCAACATATAAAGACGAACAAAAAAACCTAATGTAAGAAAGTTATATTCGGCGGGGGTCGAATCTCGCATACTAACCACCATGTTGTTCGCATTCTACTGACCAAGTTCTTTCTTTATTTCATATCTATATCGCTAGTATTGTTAAGAAAAAAGTAACCGCGGTGTCTGCCATATACATTTTCAAATGAACCCATTTTTAGGCAGACAATATATCTTCATTTAAGGAGTGAACAAGGGCTAATAAGCTTAAAACTTAGAAAGTTAAAAAGTTTATGCAGGCGCAGCGAATGTTTTCCATTTTGGCACGTAAGTAGTAGAGTGCTTCGTAAAGTAAATGTGGAAAGTTTCAGCTTTCTAGCTTTTATAATATACAAGTCACGAGCAAAATTCCAAAAATTTTTCTTAAAGAAAACAAAGTTGTGTTCAGTTTACGCTCCACTGCGCGCTTCTGCTCCTACCGATTTTGCCCACTATCAATACCAACCTGCGTGCAGAAACTTCCAAAGTTTCTAGTAAATCTAAAGTCGATATCTTAATTTTTGTGACTAGGAGAGTGCCAACAACACACACCACACCGATATACAGACGGACAGGCATGGCGAAATCAATTCAGAATTTCATGTTGATATATACTTTCTGGGGTCGCTGATGCTTTCTTTTGGGTGTTACATACATTATGGAAAAAAACACAATGATTACAGCCCCATCTTAGAGAGGTGAGCATAAAAAGAGAAACAATGATTCGATCACGAATCGACCGCCTGGCAATAGTATGTATATTTCATGGACTTTTTCTAGTAAGATGCTCTCGATGCTCTAAACAGAAATGAGAAAAGTCAAAAACATTTCAGATCAGTCAAACACTTCCCAGCCTAAGAATAAAACCTAATGATTAAAGCTATGATTCTTCTTTATGATATTCGCCCTTAAGTTCAAGATATTTTCATTAGTGATATGACTTTTCATTGATTACATCTCTACAGTGATTTTTCTTTAGACTTTTAAGTTAATTAGAGACAGTTTCCAGGTAATTCCTCAGTTTGATGAAACAGGAGAAGGATGTGCGATATATTTCTGTAAAGTGGTCTCAATCATAGTTCAAGCCAGTTTTATTCGCTTCAAAACGCTGCAAATATTAATGCGATGATTGAATTCAAGAGTGTCTTAGTTACGATTTGGATGCATGCGGAGTCGATCTTCTCAATATTTTTCCCATACTTTATTCATTACTTATAACCTCATCGCCATGACCTAACTGACATGTCTTTGCCAACGTTAATCGCTCGCTTTTTGAAATCAACTTTGGCATAATATATGCGCGGTACGTGCCGGCGACGGTTTCGATAGAAAATTGTATAATATTTGTGGATATTGCCACACGGTTCCGGTACAGTACTGTACGCTGTATAAAAATTAAACCATTTCTGTGCTAAGTGCATTTTTTGAATATCGTAAACTTGTTTGTATTACCCAGATGTCTAAGCCATTTAAAAAATCGATTTGTTTGCTATGAAGTGTTTATATGACGCAAAGACATACATATTAGCAAAGAGTTTATGGAATCGGAGCGGAGGAAATCTCAATCCATTAATCAGTTATAATAATCTTATTAAATCTTGCTGAGATAGTAGATATATCGGGCAATGTTTCTTCTGAAATAGGGAAATATCTGCATATTTTTAAAGAATTTTACTTAGTTTATCTGTCTTTGAGAGAATAAAATGATTTGATATTTTATAGTATATTTATGCTTTCATTTTCCATTTAATAAAATTAATGTGCTGTTAAAAATATTGTGAGATTAATCTCTGATCTGAATATGTTGTCTAAATGGTACCGTTAGGATTTCCTTATAGTGCAACGTCGCCATGGTCAGGAAACTGATTTGCAATACAAATCTCAAATGCAAATGAGCTGTTTTTTCCGCACATATAGAGAAATGTTTCCGTGTTTGTTGTCAGTGTTGCGCTACCAAAAATTTTCTTGCCACAATATTAAACGATTGGTTGACACCCTTGTGTTAGTTATGCTGACATATTGCAAATATTCGAGAGACTACAACAAGCTGAGCGAAATCTACCATATAAGCATTAGTTGCCTTAGTTGTTGTTGTTGTTATTGATACAACTTGTGGTTTATTTTTTTATGTAAACAAACAACAAAAAGAAAATCATTGATATACTTATGCACAAATGTCAAATAGACATTTGTATGCCTTTTGGCTAAAAAAGCAAAAAAAAAAAAAAAACAAATATACTATAAAATAAAAAAAAAACAAATAAAAAATTTTTGCTTTTTGTTCATTGCATGTTTGTCGTCATCGTTGGTCGATTTGATTGGACCTCCTGCAGAGATTGTTTTATATTTCTCGTGGCTTTTATTTTTGTACATTTCATCTTATTTTATACCTAAACTCAGTAGCATTTGGGGGTCGTTCGGTTAGTGTTTTGATGAGCTTTCCTGCTGTGCACCAAAAGGCGTTAAGTTGGCAATAATTTGGTTGTTGTTGCTGTTTGATCTTAAGCATACGGCTTTTCATCCATTGGTATGATTGTTGTCGTTGCTGGTATTTTCATTGCTAATGAACTCAAAAACACCCTTATTTACACCCAATTTAATTTGGAAGCACTTCCATTTAATTTGTTAGAAAATGCGATTAAAGTTAGATATAAAAGTTGTGAATAAATAAATGAAATTCATTTCGAAATTCATTTGGATTTATTCGGATTTATTTTCCAGTTTTTCGCATTGTAGCGGTTTCCAAAAAAAAACAAGTAAAAGCCTGCGGTCCGTGATTAAATGTCCTACATCACTTCGATTAAAACAGTTATTCATGTAACGACTTTTCAAAAGAAGACCTTTTGTCGGAAGTGACCAAAAAAATGGTCCGATTCGAACCATTTTCAATAGAACTAACTCTTGGGTGAAAACATGACGGTTTGCCAATTTTGGTCAAAATATCTTGAAAAGTACAACTAGTAGGTTGAACATAAAATATAAAGACGGATGGACAGATAGAAGGGCACCCCAAGCAAGTCCTTCTGGCTGTTGTATACATCCCCGTCAGTTTATTATACCAAGTAGTGTACGGTATAAAAAGTAATAATAATTAATATATACACAATAACACAAAAACAAGGAAAAACATTCCCACGAGCCACGACCCCATAAGAAGTACGTTACAACGTTACACTTAATGCAGTCATGCATTAAGCGAGTTTCGAAAATAGCGCGTTGAATAGGTGGTCCCATTCAAATCATTTTCAATAGTGTTAGTCCTTGAGCCAAAACATGTCGGGAAACCAAATTTCCCCGAAAAATATCTTGAAAAGCACAACCAGAAGGTTAAATACAAGAAAGCAAGCCAAACAGACAAACGAGCAGAATAGAAAAGTTTAGATCGATTTAGAAAGTGACCATGAATTGATCGCTATAGTAAAAGGAAGGTTTTTTCGTGTCGTTTCGGGTGCTACCTACGACGATATAAGTAAAAAATCTGAACGTGTAATTTTTATTTATTACTTATATGTGAGATGTTCCTTAAATGTTACGAAACCAATAAAATCAAATCCTTAATGTTGGAAACTTTTTTACTGATTTTCAAAGTATTATTGCTTGGCTTTAAGGGTTAACATGATCTGAAAATCTTTCACAAAAAAAAAAAATATTTTTGGGTCAATAGGTGTTTTTAGTACTTATAGAATATGTGAAAAAATGTATTACATAATTCAAATTCTTTGCTTCAAATTTCGGGCTTTTCCCCAAAGCCTGCTTGTACCAAATGAATTTTCGGCTTGGAGCTTATAGCCTAATGTCCTGGCTGGGAACTTCTAAATACTCTAGTACGCTAAGCTACATTTTTAGAAAGAATTTATACTTGTTCATTTAAAGTCTTAAAGGGCTAGGCATTTAAGGTTATTGGCTCTATTGAAAACTCTATCGCACTTGAGATTTGAACCCACGACCATTGAGTTGTTACTCGAGATTGTTTGCCTACTTTGCCACGCAGGCGGTTTTAAGTAAACATAATAATAATAAATTTGCTTATAATTTGTAGTAAACAACTTCTACTTGAAAAATTATAAAATGCATTTTTAAGGAAAGCTCGTGATTAAGAACTGTTACAAAACACTGTGACAACAAAAATATTTCTTTTTCATAACATAAATCCAAAATAAGCAGTTGTCCTAATTGCTTATGCGATCGTTAAGCCACTTATAACATAATTTAAGTAAACAAACATTACACGTTGATGATGAAAAACGTTGCATTTCGTTGGTGTAGTGCGTGTTGACAATTACAAAATGCAACCCTGTTATTTACTTTGTAAACATATAAAAAACAATTTAAATGGCATCAATGTCACCCCTCCGTTGATATCCGGGTAAGGATATGTTTCTTTTATGCGAATAAGAAAACATTTTAAATACTGTTTGTTACAAACAATTGCTATTGTGTTGCCGTGTTTGCTTTCAATTTTCTCAAAGCTATTGTGTTCGTTAATTTTGTTTAACGTAATTCTTTAGTCTTGATTTGTAAGTAACGGATATAATTTTGTTTGTTAAGGTTTTTAACCACTTTTCCTAAATTACTTAATAATATTTTATTATTATTTTCTTCTTTTTTTTTTTTTTTTTTTTCCTTTTCAAGCTTTTTTTCCTTTATTGATAATCTTAAACGGATATAGATCACTTATGATGGCAACATCACGACCTAACGGAAACATTAAGTTTCTTTTTAATTTCTTTTCATTCTTCTTTTCTATCGTATATGGTGTGTGTATACATTGGCTAATGACGCCTAAACTGAGGTCACGTGTCTAACATTTATTTGCCATTGATAGCGTTAATAATACCAATGTTTTTGTTTATATGTGTCATTCATGTACTTACGTTTCATTGTTGCCGCTACCGCCGCCACCCGTTGTTATGTTTGCGCTACCGAAACTTCCAAATATATGAGTATTAAATTGTGGAACTGCTGTATTGAGGGTTGTTGTTGTTGGTGTCGTATTAGTTGTTGCTACTGTAGATGCCGAATTAGAAGTTCGTGTTGTTAATGATATAGGCCCTCCCACTTCAATGGGCGAATCGGTATTTCGAGAATTTGAAGGGCTGTTGTTAGGATTGCGCGGTGTTCTGGTGCCTGGTGAAGGTGAGCCGGCACTTATTGAGCCCACTGACTGCGAATTTGAATGTATACTGTTTAGCTGATTGGATGACAGTGGACGCTCGTTGTCGGAATCGGTCCCAGCAAGGCCGGCATGTGGACTATGGGAAGTGCTAGGACCTGGGCTGTGACATCGTCGATGTGGCTCATCATCGTCCATTTCTCCAGTAATATCCGGTGATGATTCGCGACTGTCGTGAAGCTGAAATATGAAAAGTAACAAAGAAATCTAATCATGAGCAACTGTAGCATATAATATAGTTGTTGAATTCTCTCTAGGTCTCCGTTTAAGAATATGTTATCACAGAATATTTTATCTCTACTCAATGGGATGTATTAGGCCTATCGAAGAAAATTCATTATTATCGTGAATAACCGGGTTGATGTAGCGATGGGTACCTCTCGCTCTGAGCTTTGGCTTTGAGCTTTAAATCAGGTCCCAAATTATTAAAATCCTTGTATCAAGTCTGAAAACTAGCTTAATCCGATGAAAACTTTGCCTATATATATTTTTTTTTTTTTTGCTTTGACAAATCACACAGAAGCTGTAGTCTATGGGTGCATGCACGACGAAAGTCAAGAAGATTTATAGATAGGGAAGGATGGAAAGAAGGAGTAGTGTTTGTGTGCTTTTGACTTGAAAGCGGAAACATCAGGCACGGTGGGAAAGGCCACTGCTGGTAGATTGTTATAGAGGCGGACAAGGTGATTGAAGAATGACGAGTTGAGGCAGTATGTTGCGTGGTATGCAGATAAATCCAGGACGGATGGGTGGAAACACTGAGAAAACGTTGTGGTTTTGCTAAAGGAGTTAGTTGGTGGATATATCTCTTTTAACTCTGTGGAAAACTTGTTCTGGTTAAGACACTTCTCAATGCGTTGTTGATTTGCGAAGGCTATAGAAATTAAAATAGAAACCTTAGGATTGGCGTTTATAACACATTACTCAATAAGATCGTAGGATAAGATGTAGACGTCGCCACTATTGATTTTGAGATCATGTAACAGTGATGTTATTGCTACTTGAGTGCTGAGAAAGCCCTTTATGTTCCTTTAGCATGATTCGAATTGACAAAAAATCCTACCGCTTGCTACGAACTGTCACAGTAGAGCTTAATTTAAAATTTTAACGGCTACCACTATATACCAACATCGTTTTAATCGGAAAGAATTTGTTTCAGAATTTTTATCAATTAAGTTGACTGGGAGCGTCTCCAAGAAGTGATCGATCTTCTCTGCATTTATTTTTCGATAAGCTTGGTTTTTTTTCTTAAATGGGTAGACTAACCGCCTGGTTTTTTTTATACCTTGTCTCACATCTGGTACAAGAAGGACTCGAGACAGATCCCCCTTTTATTATACCTATCGATTCTGAATCACTTTTTGAATCAATTTAATCTTGTCTGTCCGCTTTATTTTCTTATGTTTAACCTGCAGAAATTTTCAAAATATTTTGATGAAATTTGTTACACTGACATATTTTGGTCCAAGGACGAACGCTGTTCAAAATGGTTCGGATCGAACCATCTTTTCGAACACATCTCATGCAACGGCTTGTTTACAAAAGTTGTTTTCGAATAATTGTTGGGTGATATAGGATTGATTAGAGCGAGTAACCTCAGTTGTTAGAGCTAATCTTGCTCAAACAATTTATTTCTTTATGATAAAGAAATAATAAGAATGACATTACTAAACTCATCTTTAAAAGTAATTTATAGAAAGTAGTAAAGAGTGAAGAAGTTAAATTTTAACTTTGCAACAATTTCACAAATTCGAGAGAGAGGGACATATGATCGGGACAAGAGTTTCGAATTTTCGATATGCATTTTTAAACGGTACAGAGCAGATGCCAAAATCAATGTGTATTTTTAAATGAAAACGGGGGAAATATATTCAGAGAAAGTGCCAAAATCAATATGTATATCAATACGTATATCAATATGTATATAAACGAAACAGAGAGAATGTCGGAATCGGTATCATTTATGGATACATTTTCATGAATATTAATATGATGCGAATTATTAGCATAAATGTGTATGACCCACCTTATCCAATGATACACTGCCACATTCGCCATTATCACGCTTGCGTTGTTCATCCTTAAGGCGTTCCGCTTTGCGCCATTTGGCACGACGATTTTGAAACCATACCTAAAGAATAAACAAGCATAAGAGTAAATATTTGTATAGGAAAAACAACAAAAACGACAACAACAAGAAAAATTACAATTATTATTATTGTTTACATACTTTCTATTCTATATATTTTGGCTTTGAAATGCCTTAAGCGTTATTCCGATACGTAAATTGAAAAAGTTTTATTGTTGGTATGTCTGTATGTGATATATAAAAATTTATTTATTTTACGAATATTTTACACTTGAGAAACTTCTACAATCTAAACAATTTATTTATCAAGTGCTATCATGGGGTTAAGGAGAGTAGGTGCATGAATGAAACTAATGATAATAGAGCACTAAACTTAAGTGCATAACTTTTTTTTATACCCTTTGCTACTGGTATTAACTTAACTTAATATTAAAAATTCTTATTGTATATATGCCCGAACGAGCAATAAGGGGAGATGACGTTGCAATACGCAGCAAAGATGTTTCGATTTCAGTTAATTTCTAAGACAATTTAGTTAGGATCGCCGTCAGTATGTTTGACGCGAGATTGAAAAAAAATATGCAAATAAATAAGAAGGAAATTTTGTAACTTGGATTAATTCCTTAAATGGAAAATGCATTCATCAATATGATAGTAGTCTACGGTAAACAGAAAACTTGAAGAAAAAAACCTCTAAAAGACTTTGAAATTTCAAAAGGAATTTCTTAGAATTTCTCAGGTAGGTATAGATTTCGAAGGTCGTTTGTATTTTTGCTGGAACAGCTTTTATGTCCAATTGATCCCTGAACGGCATATATAAAAAATATACTTAAAATTCTGCTAATTATTGTCGGTCGATCAATTGAAATTATAATGACCGTTAGATAGGGTTTGAGAATGTTACGCCATTTGAATTTTTCGTCAAAACTGCTATTAGATAAGAGCCCTCATATGCTTTCCTAAATACTTATCACAAGTTTCAGATCAATATTTGCCAACGACTGCTAGCTTGAGTTTTTTGGCTATCGGTTAGGAATATAAGAGGCGTACTTCAAAAATAGATGACTTTTCAAATTTTGTGGGCTACGTACATTGCTTTGTCGATTTTCGAAATTTTTTATCTCCTATGCATATTCTTATGTATATATATTCGTATATTCCAAAATTTATTCTCACAATTATTCGAATTATTAATGTTGTATTCCATTTTGAAAATAACGTTAATTTTGTTAAGAAACTTTCATTCCTAATTACCTCACTTTATCATCATTCAAGATCTCCTATACGATTCCTACCAAGATGAAGTCAAGAAAAAGCAAGTATACTTCTATGACATATTTTAAGTCAGGCAATCTAATTACTTCACTTTTCTCATTTAAATGAGCTATAGAGGGCCACGGCCCACTATTGCATACAACGGCACAAACTTAGTATACACTAGTACCATATGTCGCATGAGGTGAAAGTATGGAAAATATTTTCTAGTTTTCCGTTTCCAAATTGCCTGTGATCGGCTGCGAAAAAATAAGTATTTCACAGATCATCTGAGAATTTATGAAAAGCTGAGATGGGGGAACTTTCCCAACAATACTTATCAGCTATTAGTGATGTATTTTTTCTGTTTTTGTGCCAAGCTATAAAGGTACTTGTGAGGTGCTTTTTAGTAGATTGTAGAGAGCATTAAATAAAATTCGTATCCCCGGACTCCGAGGGATTTTACTTTTTCACGAACGGTCATTGAAAAGTATTCCGTTAAATCAAGCTCAAGAGAGTAAAGGCGAGAAGTTAGAGATATGACCACAAAATCTGCTCAATTTTACATTTTCGAACTTATATCACATGGTCTGTTCGAATTTCTTTGAAATTTTTACTTGTCAAAATCTATCACTTAATTAGAAAAACAGGAGTATATTCAGTAATGATTTGCAATTACTGAGAACGTTTATAAAATTTCTTTCCAAATCCGCCATAGTTCGGGTAACAGAGAGGATCCTGAAGTAAATTTTTGGGACGTTTGCAATAGTTTACAAGTCTTTGGCTTGTTTTTTCAAAAAGATCGGCATAGTCGCTGAAAAAATGTAGGCATCGAAAAAGCAAGATCAGTGCAAATCTCGGTGAGTGAAAAACCCAAAACTTTTCTTTTTTGATCATGTTTAGCACAATTTTGAAAAGGACGAGATGTGATGCGAAAAAGTGTTTGTTGACCTTATTATGTAGTTAATTAATATGTGAGTAATGGGTAAGTAAGTTTTTATAATGAAAGATAGAAGAAAAATAAATTGAGAAAAAAAAGAAGAAGGAAGAGTGATAAATACTGGAAATGCAATCAGACTTTTTGTTAGACGCACATAAATCTGCACAGTTATTTCATTACAATTATGCTTGAAAGACTCCCTTGATTCAATGCTTTTGTTTGTTGTGTGTAAGCGTAAGCCTTAGCATTTGTTAGATAAACTAATGAGACAATTAGTTCCTTATCTTCTTTTTTATCTTTTCCTAGCTTCCATTTCATGTATACATATAAAGTGGAAAAGAGATTGAAGAGGTATGTGTGTGTGTGTGTGCGTTTATGTTTGCTATAACATCCGGTTTTTGTTCTTAGTAGCTTTTTGTTTCCGTTTTCCGTAGACATGAATCTCGATAAACTTATATACGTATCTTCTATGTATACATAAATATAAATGCATATGTATATATGTGTGCGCTCACATACAAATACAGCTTAGACAATTTACGTTAGGTTAACAAATTTTCATTTCTAATCAAAATTCAAATTTCAGACTTTTATTGGGTGACTTTATCTTATTACATACAGCATATATACTGAGCACTTGAGGGGTATATTTTGTAATATGTCCGTATAAAGTTTTCATCATATATACAGAAAAGTATATGCATAATAGAATGGAAAAGAAAAAAAAAAAAAAAGAAGAAAAATTCACTTGTTAGCCTTAAGCATAAAATGCTTGGTAGTATAACAGTCTACTGCAGATATTTACTTATCGACTCATATACTCATGCAAACCATTATATAGCTGTTGTTTAAAATAATGCAATCAAATGTAAGCCTTCAACTTCATACCATTAACATATCCTTTCAGTTGTTGTTTGATTTTTTTCCTTTTTTTTTTTTGTTTTTTATGTTCGTCATCATTGCTTTATATTTTGATTATATTCATATTTTACTCGTTATATTGTCCCTTATACATGAAACGAGTGCTTAAGAGTACTTGTGCACAGGGTATACACACATTATACGATTACGCCACCCACCAATTTTATTATTATTTCTTTTTTATGCTTTACATTATTCGTGTTTCGTCTTGTTATACACTTGTAACGCCCACCTTTTTTTTGTTGTTGTCGTTGTAGTCGTCCTCGTCCTGTTTGTATTTCTCTTCAGTTTTGTATTTTTTTTTTTTTTCAGTTTTCTCGTTGGTGTTGTTACGTGGTGGTGGTACTGGTCTGCCCTTTGCCGTCGCGCATGTTTTCTATTGGAAAACCAAAAAATGTGCAAAAAACAAAAAAATTTATTCACTCTATCGCCTGGAGGTTGTAGAAGAGTTTCATATATTTTACAGAAATTTTCTTTATGTATTTTATTGCTGTATTTTAGCCCGTGGGATCATCGATTTCAATTTCAGAGTTTAGTTAAGTTATACTTACGAAATTAAACAATTACATAAAGTATGTTTTGTGTTCAAGTCATTTTCAATTAATTTTACATGATTATGAAGTTTTGTAATTTTTTCTTCTTCTCTTTCTTTTTTTCTCTTTGTCTGCAATTCTTTTAATGCTGTTATATAATTTAAGGCTCAGCCAAAGCAATAGTAGAAGAGTAAAAGCTTAAGAGATTTAAATAATATTAAAGGAAGAAATGTTAGATTTTCGTCTGAATTTGTAAAATGGCCCTGAATGATCTGATCTGTATGAACGGTCTTTTTGCAAAGACTTACATGGCCTGACGACGTGAATACAACGAACTATGACTAGCGGAAAGTTGGGCAATCTGAGCACATTTCTTTTTGCTTTTCCTTAACATGGGCTTTCTTTATTCCAATAATTTGTCGTTAAAGTCTTTACCAAGATATATTTTTGAGTTAAGTGGTAGAGAAAGATTCATTATAAAAAATATACATATATATATATATATATATATATATATATAACACGAAGCAAAGGTAATGTTTAAAAAATACGAAACAAAATTTTGCATATTAATTGTTATGTAGTGCGCGTAGAGAAGAAGCATATCGTAAAAGTCCTGGCCAGGTTTTTAACATGCTTTTCTAACAGCTTTTCACGTCTTTTCAAAAATTTCAAAATTGTGATGTGCTTTGGAAATTTTTTTTGTAATTAACATAAATCGCAGAAAGGCAATATTAAAAGATGACCTTACGTCCGTAATTCGTACGATTGCGATCATGGTTCAGAAAGTCTCATACAATCATTGCCGAAAGAATTAACTTATCATTGATGAGTGTATGAAATGGAATTTATTATCTAATTTAACACTAGAACTATCGACATTTGCTTATACCAAAATGAATCAATTAGATGCGCGATCTTTGTGTGACCATCACAGTTGTAAAAATGAAGATAAGAAAGTTTGAAGTTCGGCGCCCTTGCTCGGTTGGGAAATCAAGGTTAAAGAACGAGTTCGAACCACCCCCAAAATAATAGGTGGAAGCTCATCTGGCCGTTCGCAATATAGAAAAACGGAGATAATTTCGAAAAAACATTGATAAACTTATCGCACTTTGGTCTATAATTTTCTACCTTCTGAAAATAGATTTCGTTTACTAATACCCGAAGAAGTGCGTTCGATAAAAATCGCTTATAGAACTTTATAAACATATATAAACGAATATGTGAAAGCTTAATAAGTATTGAAGCATTCCATATTAAGTTATAGAAGAGTTAATTCAGGGAAGTGCCACCAGACATGTTATCAAAGTCGTGAGCCATTCGAATGCTTTTGCTGGCCCTCTTTCTCTCTTCGGTGAAGGAAATGGATAGACATTGAAGGTCTATTGGGTTTA